ATACACATAAATACGCATGTACAATTCTTATTTATTTTAATATCATCATCATTGTTAATATTATGGTTTTTACGGGTTACTCCAACATAATAAGAAGCACTAAAACTATTTCGATACACACAAATTTATGTATGTATGTATAACTGGCCATTCGTATTCGAGGATATCCGTCTACTAAGACGGCTAGCCAATCCCTATTGCAGACGCTTGCTCAGGCGCATTTGTGTTTATTTAACACCCACAGAGCCCACCTGTGGTTTATACTGCAACTGAGCAGTACCTGACAGTTTCTGGGAGTGAGCGTGTTATCTAGCGGGATCAACAATTTGAACAAGGCCAGCACGCTAAAATCTCGGCCACGATGACTTATGACAGCTATCGATGGTTCCATCTACCCATTTTCACTCACAAGGCTTGTGTCTCTTTTTCAAGCACTTTCCAAAAGGAATCGACCCTTCCAGTCCGATAACATCAGGAACTCTCCTTCCTGAAAAATCGATCATGGTTAGATTCGAACCCGGATCTCATGGTCAGAATGCGAACGTTCTAAACACTCGGCCACGTGCCCATGTACCATTCGTCTACGTGCCCAAATTTCATCCATTTATATTGAACTTTTTGGGATGACCACTAACGTCCAATGAAATAGAATTCCGTACACTTGAACTACTTAATACGTTGTTGTCATTAGCCACTTTAACTGAGGCATGAGACTTCCAATTTTTGACAACAAAATTTTATGATCAATAACTTTTGGCGCATGAACTACTAAGCTTGATCACGTGATCATAATTAACCAAACAGATTTCATTTTAAGGAGATAGAAATCAGAGCCACGTTTTTTACAGCACAAAACGGAAAGAATTTTTTGACTCCAGTTAAATACGAAGCAGATCATGCCAAGGCCGCACTTCATTCCATCTCATTTTAACTTTTGAATATCATACAGCTCTAAAACCAGTAAAGTTACTTTAAATAAATATTCTTAAATACTTTCCATATATATATATATATAATATAATATAAAAGGCTCAAACACTAATATTCCATGGTTATAATTTATTACATTGGAATCGTAATCACGATCCAATTCATCAATTGTAGGTCTGATAAATTGGATCGTGATTACGATTCCAATGTAATAAATTATAACCATGGAATATTAGTGTTTTAGCCTTTTTTTATTATATTTTTTACTCTGTCCTGGAGATTGAGTTCTACCTGGATTCTATCCTGTTGGAAATTTATGTGTGTGTATATATATATATATATATATATATATATATATATATATATATATATATATATATATTGACCACTAATATTATCTATCTATCTATCTATCTCTCTCTCTCTCTCTCTCTCTATATATATATATATATATATATATATATATATATATATATATGCACGCGTGTGTGTGTGTGTAAGAGAGAGATAAAGATATCTGTCTATATTTCTGAGATGAGGTATTATGTACATTATTTACATTATTCGGACTATTCTCCTCATCTTTGTCGCCATATTTATTACAACGTTTCGGCCGTTGTACGCTCCAGCCTTCTTCAGTTGGTTGGAATGTCAAACTGAACCCTTTTATTTCCCTTACTGGGGTAGACTGTTCTAGTTCCACGTGCCATGTTTAATGCATGTCAGTTATCGGTTATCTCCCGTTAATTCCCCTCTCCAAGTTCTCCACTGCCTTAAGCCGGTATTGATTTAACCAACGCTTTTATCCACTGTGCCATGTGTCCTTGAGATAAAGGGTTAAGTTCGACATTCCAACAACCTAAGGAAGCCGGAGCGTACAACGGCCGAAACGTTGTAATAAATATGGAGACAAAGATGAGGAGAATAGTCCGAATAATGTAAATAATAGTGATAACGATATATAAATGTTTATATATCAAGAACAATATTGGGGAAAATATGACAAAGTGGAAAGAAAGAATTCGTGTGACGCGTTTCGACCATTTGTACTTCATCGCACTAAATACTGGGAAGGTAAAATTTATTTATTCTATTTTTTTTTTGTGTGTGTGTGTGTGTGTGTGTATTGTTGTTGTTGTTTAGAATGTAGTCGATTTCATTTAATTCTTTTTCTATTTTTTTTTTTCGGTTCCATCGTTTTTGTTATTAAATATCCCACGCTGTGATAATAGATCTATCAGGAATGGTGAAATGTTGTAAGAGTCATTATGCAAGTTTATTGAGCTTGACCTTGCGATCAAGGCACTATCTAAACATTTTCGTCTTATTGCAAAAGTCATCCAGAGTAAATTTGCGCCCTGTCTCTAAGAACGTTTCACCATTCCTAGCTGGTTGTCTGTTATCACAGATCTTCTATAATATTTAATAACGAAAGTGATGGAAACAAAAATGAATATATTTAAAAAAACGAAGTTAAATTTTTAATTCCCAGAATCCGTAATTCTTGCGCGTGCGTAGTCGCAGCAATTAGTCAGATTAAGTCATAAAGGACGAAACGCGTCATACTCAGACTTTTTCCCACTTTATATATATATATATATATATATATATATATATAAATCCAAAATTACCTCCTGTGGGGAAAAGTCTGTTTGGGCAGACGATAATATCGGCCGTCTGTCTTATCAACTTCGGTGTGGAATGAGTCTTAGAGATAGGTATGATTGATGTTTAGAAGAAAAAATTAACCTAATGCAATAATGAAAGCCAACTATCAAATCAGAGGAATGAATTAGTGTTAAAATGTCGACATAAAAACAAATGCAAATTCCCATAAAATAGTTTTAACCCAATTAGCTGCCATACTTACAAAATATGCTTTTACTTTATTTACATTATTCGGACTGTCATCCTCATCTTCGTTGCCATATTCACAGCGTCTTGGCCGTTGTACGCTCTGGTCTTCTTCAGGTAATTGGAATTTCGAACCGAGCCCTTTATTTCCTCCACCAAGTTAGATTATTCTAATTCCACGTGCCATGCCTCTTCCGGGTGTCTCAGTTATTTCCGTTTAACTCTCTCTAAGTTTTGGTTCATCACTGCTGTGGGATGGTACTAAACTCACAACTCTTTGGGTCTACTCACTGGATCTAACCAACGTATTTATCCACTGGGCCTGTGTCCTTAAGGATAATATATGTAAGAATTTCTGGGACTTATAAACCTAATGTTTCAGCAACCATATTTACCAGTTCTCATATTGCATTTTTTTTATTATTATAGCATTTTTTACCAGAGCTTATATTTCAATTTTTGTTGTTATTCATTGCTTTTCTCCAGCACTCCTTATTAATAGTTCCCAAATTGTATTTATTTTTATGCTTGTCCGACTCAGGAGATCTTTGTGGTCTAGAATATGTGCTGATTCCTTCACTTTTCGTATTTTCCAGTAATGCTCTCTATTATTTCAACTTCATCCCACAGGGGGCGGTGATCTCCTTTTTCCCTTCATATGTCATCAGCTACGCCTGTTTTTTTCTATTTCACTTTGTGTTACTGCTTTACGGTGTTCTTGCAGTTTTACCTTAAGGGATGGCCCCATTTTAAATTAAATGTTACGTCCAATGGAATTGTCCTCATTTTACCTGTATATATATGTCATTCGCAGACAGTACTGTGTCGCTGTATCAAAGCTCTTCAGTGCAACTAAACATCCGAATGCCTCAAGACCAGATTGAAAACCAACCGTTTTAGTCCCAGGGTTTCTAAAACTGAGCTATCTTCACTCGACAGAATGACTCAGCCAAATCTAGCGTATTGTTTTTATAAATGTAAACAAACACCCAACAACTGAAGTGCTCCATTCATTTTAATGAAGAGCTTCGCATTAACGCAAGTGGCTGTTGTTATTAGAATTAGCTTGCCATTCAACAGTGCTCAGTTGAGAATATATTTTCAAGAGCTAAATATATACATATATATATATATATATATATATATATATATATATATATATATATATATATATACTATATATATAGACTATATATATACTATATTATAAATATAATAGACTATATTTCTTTTTAAATCAAGTAAATGTAATAGAATTACTTAAATTATTTAAAAATTATTTTTTCATATCAAATATAAATATGTATATTACCAGCAGTCATTTTCTTATTTTTTTTATTCTTATTTTATTTTGAAATATTATTTAAGGAAAATTTTTGACAATGACGGCAAAGAATAGCTATTTTATTTCATTGATTCAGTAAATTTTTATTTTTTATAAACTTAGTTATATATAGTTTCTCATGTATGCACAAAGGACATGGGACATTTTTTAGCTTTTCTTATTAATTTCCATTTTACTGTAAGTGTTTTATTGGTTTCTTTTAAGTGCCGGAAACAGAAATAATGCTTTTAATTTAATTATATAATTAATGCTTTTAATTTAATTATATGATTTTTGAAACATGGTTGTTACTGTGTAGCGAAGAAACCATATTTTAAATCAGTTAATTTATAATATTATATATATATATATATATATATATCCATACACGTTTCATTAAATAATATAGACAAGTGTTGTCTATTTATTTTATGTAATTTATTTTCATAACGTCTGATAAGTTTAATAACATTATCGTTGAACGAAGAAAGAAATTCACAATATTGATCCATATTTTTTTAATACAATCTAAGCTTTCGGCTTACATAAGCCATTATCAAAGATGTCAATTACAACATATTAAACGATATACGGAGACGACAGTGATGATAGTCTGTCATTGTTTACATAGATGATTTCTAAGCAACGATAAACACGTGCATATAAGACGCTAGAAAATATATATATATTTTATGCTTTTTCCTGAATTTTAATCAGGTAATACGCCTGTGAAATTATGCAAGTTAAGTTAATAGAAAAGCGTTGCATTACGTCCATTGAGCAGGAAAGATATTATGTTGAAAATAAATATTTGTTGTCTAAAGTTTTTTTTCAGTTTACCATTTTGCTACAGACATGTTGATTTACTTCTTTCTCTCTACATATAGACTTAAGGCCATATCATGTTGAAACCTCGACACTCATATGATCACCGAAGTTAAGCAGCGTTTGATCCTGGTCAGTACGTGGATGGGTGACCGCTTCGAAATACCAGGTGTTGTAAGCTTGGATATGCAAGCGGTTTAATGGACACTTGCTCGAGTTCCAATTCATGTCGTGTGCTTTATATCCAGAAATACTCTTGAAAAGGGCATGATTCCACTTTTTGACCACACCCCAGCTATGGATTAATTAGTAGGGCTTACTGACTGAATGAATAACGACAAAAGGAAAATTTATTTTTCGTCCTCTGGCGGATTTATTTTGCAACAAGAATTTATAAACAGAAGTAAAATTATCGTTAGTTTCTCAATTTTTCAAATTTAAGAAGGCTTATAGATATACTTCAGGCTAACCGAAAGTCAAGGTGAACTATGGAGGATGCTAATTGAAATAATTTAATGTCTAATAAACGAAAGTGAGTAAATGTTGTTATTAATACCGTTGATTTTTTTATAATATAAATTGATATTGTTTTATTTTGAGAAATTAAGTTCTGTATTAGAATAGATCTTGAATTTAATTGTTTTCTTTTAATTAAAAAAAAAAAGCAATCTATTTCCATACACCGGTATATCTCGGGTTACGTCGTTTCCAGTTAAGTCATTCTAGATTATACGTCAAAAATATATGGAAAAATTAAAATCAAGTTTAAGTCATTTTATTCGACTTTACGTCTGTCCGCCACAAATATCAAAGTCTTAATATCACTAGAAAAGCACATAAAATCATGTTACTGTATAATAAATAAAAATAAAAGTATATAAAATCATATTAAAATACGTACATTTACAGTAAATGTTAATATAATCATCATAAATCGTAGAGAACGAAATATGAAAACATCTGTGATACTGTGTCGTCTTATTTAGCGGTCTTTAAGAGTACAATATTGGCGTTTTCTATGGTAGTTGCAATTTCTACAGTTTGGCGTCGTTGTCAGCGCCACTCGTGATTCCCGCGAAATCGAAATCCATTTTAGTTTAGGCATAAGCACGGTAAACGTCTGCTTATCGCCTATTCTCTCATTCTAATTCATTTGTGACTTTTATATTTTGCCCCAATGGCTCCTAAGAAAATTCCTACTTCAACTGCTAAGCGTCAGATTATAACAGTGGACGATAAACTTACTATGATAAAACGCAATGATAAAGGTGAAAAGGTTATATAAATATAAATTTATAATGTTTTAGTTTGAGAAATTAAGTAATGTATTATATTAGATTTTGAATTTAACCGTTTTCTTTTAATTAAAAAAAAACCGAAAAAAACAAAAAAATCTTGTATCCATATACAGGTATACCTCGGGTTAAATCGTTTCGAGTTAAGTCTTCTTGATTATACGTCGTTTGTCAAAAAATATATTTAAATACTCATGGGGACAAACCGGACCCTGTTCGCAACATACTTGTTGACATTACAAATATAATAGCATCGTCTGCATGTAAACCAAGGCTAAAAACAATGGAAGCCTTATTAATAAAAACAAAAAAAATATCAAATAATATTAACTATAGGCACAATATGTTGACAGTGTGTTGAAAAAATCACATTCTATAATACTAAATACATACATACAACAATCTATTTTCAGTTAACAGTAAATATAATTCATCCTTGATAATGACTAAAGGTATAGTCGAAAGCGCTTGGAAAAATGAAACATTTGGACAGCTTTTGTATAATTTATCTGCGGAAAAGAAAAAAATAAAGATCAAATGAGAAATTATATAAAAATTTAATCAAAGCACTTTATCTGTCATATTTAATGAAGCTTGAATGAAAGAAGAATTGCTGTCTAAATACACAATATATATATATGTGTGTGTGTTTTACAAATTGTGTGTACAAATATCTCCTCTCGTTTTTCAAGTGTCGAGTGTCAGAGTAAAATGGTCAATAAAACATTTAAAAATTTAATTGGCCATTCCGACAAGAATGTAGATTCAGAAATTTGATAACGAGGTAACTTTGCACAGAGGAGAAAAAACCTTAACGTAGATAAACACACGTAATTGTGCCCAATTAACATGTCTGGAAAGTAATTATTGGAAGACAAAATTTTCAATACTTGCCTGAATGACTTACGATTCAACGAGTTAGACTACCCGATGTCGCCCGGTTTTTTTTCTCACTTTAACTAATACAAAATATGTGTTAAGTCTTCACTGCCTTGAATGAAGATAACACAATGAAGAAGTTGTATATTGCTTGGATTCAACGTAGTTTTGCTGAAATTGGTAGTAAGCAGATAAATACGTAAAAATTCTCTCCCTACTTGTTTACTCTTTTTATTTATTGCACAATGTACAAATGTGGCACATAGCCCAAAATTAAGGATAAGGAAGGCTCATCTTCATCTGTCTTATACTTAAACTTAGCTAGCCACAATCACTGACACAAACATGCCACAAAACAATACATTCGTACAACATTCACTGTAATACCGCAGTGTCTCTATGGTGATTTTTTAAGCGCTGCTTAGACGTGGAACAAAGCAGAAACTATGGGGCACCCAGTGAGGATCGAACTCACTACTCTATTGTAATTGTTCTAGCGAGACAAGCTTGCTAGCCATTACACCACGTCGAGGTGCTCAAAAATGATTTTCTAAACGTAACTTTGACGTGGCACAAGGACGAAAGTGTGGAGCACCCAGTAAGGATCGAACTCACCACTAAGCCGCAATAGCTCTAGCGAAACATGCTTGATAACCATTATATTATCTCGATGTGCCCCCTCAGAAACTCTATAAAGTCCTAACTAATCCCCATGTGTACAATTTGTCTGTGGTGAGTGGGGAATAAAATAACAACTTTTAAAAAATTTTAACCCCAAAGAATATTTACAATGGAAACAAGATTTATTTAAAAGAAACAAAACATTGTTAATAATAAAACCTCATACAATCCTTAAATGTGGCAGAAACATCAGTTAACTTGACGAAATTAATGTAGCTTTTAAAAAAATTAACAAATCATTCTACTAAACACTCACTCATCTAAACAGCAGAAACGAAAAAACACACTCGAAGATCGAAAGGCGTCCCGCATCCATTAGAGAAATGATTTCTCTGATCACCTAACAAGGAAGGGGATTAAACTAAAGAAATTGGGAGCCAAAAATAAAAGGGGCCGATGGGTATACATTTCTAACAAAGTTAACTTTGAGAGAGAAAATTAAAAGCAGAACAAGCTTAAACTAGGTTATTTTGGGCGGGGTTACCAATGTTCACTCCAGCAATTCTCAATATCCTTAATGCCTAACCGGCATTAAATTTTTTCTCTAAGTCAGCATCTCTTACACGGAACAAACGCGCAAGACTCACCCATCTTTTGCCAAATACTGTTAGATGAAATCGATTCCTTTCCATCCTAACCTTGACTTTAAGCTGATGCCTAAAGAACAAGATTAGTTGTGAAAACTTCTCGTCCCCATAGAATTCCTTCTGTCGCGTCGTCCATATCACGACTCGCATAGCGTCTAGTAAGCAGAAGCACAGAGTGTTCGGAACTTAGTCAACGTTAGATGTTACTACAAACAGAACAGAGGACAAAGAACTTTCCACTCAGCCTCCGAACCATCAGGTCTTCAACAAACTTGCACAATGGGGCTACGAACCTGCAGTGAAAGAAGGCGTGACCGAGGGTCTCCATCGCTCAGTTTGAAGCCCGTCGAACAACTAGAACATGATATAACACCTTATCACAACTCGCATGAGACCTAGTAAGCAAAAGAACACAATGCTTGGCCTCGTTAGAGAGGCAGTGGAAGGCGTGACAGAAGACCTCCATCGCCTCACAGTTTGGAAATTTTTCCCAGCCTGCCGAACAAAGTCTCTTGCCGATCTACAGGGCCTTTCGAATCGCCAGCCAGTTGAGTGATGCCTCATCGTTAGTGAGGCATTCCAACCCGGGATGGGATTCCAAGGCTATATGGAGCGAGCCTCCTGCTTCGTTAGACCGGGTTCGCCTATCAGATCATCTTGAACGGCCCCACTAACTAGAACATGATATAACACCTTACAGGACAGCGCCTGGACGTCGGAGAGGTCATCCGTCGCCTGTAAGAGGAACTTATGATAGAAGGAGCTACTTGCCTAAACATCAGGCTTCCTCCTCGCACGACTGCACACTTCTCGGCGTTGGGAAGTTCATACGGACGTCTTCCTTCCAGAATTCGCCATTCCCACCCAATTACAACCGCATCCGGTCTAGGAAAGCGATGTGAAGCGTATGTTCAACGTAAAGAATACCCAAACCGCCATCAGAAATGATCACCTGACATGCATTAGGAGCCTTGCCTCCCTATAAGGAGAACAAGAACCTTACTAAACCCAATAGTGTAGCAGACGGGAGTGGAAGCACGGAGAGTCAGTAAAGGAGAATCGAGTAGATGTCCGAGGCACATACTTCCGCCTTTCCCTTTAAGAAAAGATTCCTCCGGGACGGCAGACGAACTGCGATCTTGTCCTTCTCCCGCACCTCCGACCAATTCATTTCCAAGAGGAGATCGAGACGGGACCAGACACCGAGTATCTTCACCGGCCCGTCCGTCCATAGGAAAAGCCCAGGAAAAGAAACACCCTTCCACGTACCCAACTGCATACCAACAGACATCGTGGTTGATCTTGGGCCCTCTCCCATTCCTCGTACCCTCTGATTTCTTTGCCAACTTCGTCAATTTCGGCTCTGCTCGACACAAGAACCGAAACCTCGTCAGCATAGGTGGGAGTACCTGGCCGAGGTGGTAGCACCGCGTAGGGAAATTCCGCGGGGGACCGTATGCGTCTTAAACTTCAGAAGGAAAGGTTCCAACGCAAGAACGTACAGCTAAAGCGGGCAACCTAGACGAGTGGAGCGAGACAATACGAAAGGTCCCGACCTTATTCCATTCACTTCCACCAGTGCGCCGGGAGATGCATACAGAAGTCGGATCCAGGTGCGAAAGTACGGCCTGAAACCGGCGAAAGGGACAGTCTCCAAAAATCGATGGTCAACCTTATCGAATGCCTTAGACTGATCTAAAATGATTGGCGCGACTTCACTGACAACATGATGGATGA